AGGCACTCAGTAAATAAGAATCACTGGATATTTCAAAAAGAGAATTTTAAATATATTATATCTCAATAGAATTGACTACATTAATGGTTTTAAATCTTTTTATTTCAGGAAAGTTTCTGAAAATCTAGTGAAAACTATATATCCACCTCCAAGGAAAGCACATATTAATATGTACATGCATACATGTGCACATGTATACACACACACAGATTTTTCATATAACTCATCTACACCCAATACAATCCATCCAAGTACATGTTAGTTTATTTTGATTTCAGCAAAGAATCCAATAATCTTTTCACAGTATTCTGGAAGACAAAGTAAGAAATCCGACAATAGAGTTGGGTGGATCAGTGACAGGTAGATGACTATTATCAAAAAAATACAATGAGATTTAACAGGGCTAGATATAAAGTTCAAAAATCTAATTGGAAGCACATGTTGGAGAAGATGAACTTTAATGGAACTTGGGGGTTCCAGTTGACTGCAATCACAATATGAGTCAACAGAGATTTGTAGTTGCCAAAATAACTAATTAAATGTTGAGGCTTCATAGATAAAGTTATAGCAACTAAGAGATATGGTGCAGTTCTATTCTCTTTTGAACCAGACAATACCTATAATGCTATGTCTACTTTCCAGTGCCAACATTTTTGATCCACTGCAACAAACCAGAGAAGACTTAACCAGAATGACAAGGGTATTATAAACTAGAAACTAGAGGTGTTTCACCTGAAAATTGGGAGATTTTGAGGTAACTTGAACATAATCTTCAATAGAAAGCTAATTCACTCACAATATACATATTTTTGAATACTCAATAAAACATATATATACTTCTGAATGGAAGAAGTACAAGGTGACAGGGAAAAATACAGTTCCTCTCTTCCCATGTCCTCCAACCTCCCAGCTACCTTTCCCAGGGGCAATCACAATGACCATTTTTTTTTTTCTCCTAGAGGTTACTCACATGTTTATAAACTTGTGTGTATAAACGATTTCAGTTTTGGAGCTCTTTCCATTTCAGTTTATGAGGAGAACTTCAACTCTGACATGGTGTAAGTCTGCATTCCATTTCAAGCTGACATGGCAATGCCAGACTGCAAAATGTGTGGAAGGTGAAGGAGCAGTCCTGGGAAGCCACCTGGGGCCTGTGGGATTTCCAGGTCATCAGAATATCTCTTGCAGACCCTGGGGTAGTCTGACCCAGGATTTGAAAAGTATTAACCTTTTAGCTATTAAGAACATGTCTACACTTTTGAATTTAATCTAAACATCGGAAAGATGTTGGGTGGTCCCCAGTGATTCATTTCAAGTGCTTTGAGTTTAAAAATGCAGTTGAAGATGAGAAAGAGAGGAGATGAGAGAGTTTGAACAGTTATTTTATACTGAGAAATTGTTTTACAAAACTCCTCAATGCTTTTATTAACCTCTGTAATCCAACCCCACTAGATTGTTCCAATATTTTCTCCCCCGACTACCTTATCCATACTTTAGATTCAGTCTGGGCAATTTCCTTAAGGACCTCAATACACACCATGCACTTCAGTGACTATGCTTTCACTTATATTGGTCCTTCTTCCTAAAATGCCCTTCAATCTCCTTCTTGTTTAAGGACTGCTAAGTCTGCAAGTGCTTACTAAATTTGTCTTACTCCTGAAGGCAAAATGCCTTAGTAGATAAGCAACTAGATTCCAGTATTTGACTATATGTGCTCAATTCCTAATCCGGTTTTTTTTTTTTTTGAGATGGAGTCTTGCTCTGTCGCCCAGGCTAGAGTGCATTGGGGAGATCTCAGCTCACTGCAACCTCTGCCTCCCAGGTTCAAGCAACTCTCCCTGCCTCAGCCTCCCAAGTAGCCGGGGGTACAGGTGTGCACCACCATGTCCAGCTAATTTTTGTATTTGTAATAGAGACGGGATTTTTCCATGTTGGTCAGGCTGGTCTCGAACTCCTGATTTTAGGTGATCTGCCTCCACAGCCTCTCAAAGGTATGAGCCAGGGTGCCTGGCCTAATCCTGCTTTTTATTAACTTTTTGACGTTGAGCAAGTTTATCGCTCGAAGCCTTAATTTCCTTGTCTATAAAATATTGATGATAATGATTAGAATTTACAGCATTGTTATGAGATTAATTGATATGGAATATACCTGGTCCATGATGAGTGTTTAATAGATGTTGGTGTGGTGATGACGACATCTGTAATTTGTCTAAACCACACAATTTTCCTCATTTGGACTTTTCTACATCAATATGCCCTGATTCATAATTTAATAGTTAATGAAATACAATGTTTTATTCTTTACTAATTGTTTCCTAAGTTTTGGATTGACTATGTCTAATAGATTTTAAACTCTTTGAGGACAGGAGGTATGTATTATAATTATTTATAGGCATATAGTATCTGTTCTATAAATACTGAAATAATTGATTAATATAAGTAAGTAATCACTTTTCAGCCTTAAATTAGTTTTAGAAAAATGCCCAATTGTTTCTTTGGGGCACATATTTGCAGGCAGTTTGGAACATTTACGGGGGCAGTGAATCAAAAAGAAATTCTAAAATTAAAAAAAAATTCTACTTTGATACAGTCAGTAATTTCCAAAACATAATTTCCAGAAAGTCAATATTTTCCTTTTGCTTTTATTAGAGCTCTGAAAATCCAACATTTTGCATTTTGTAAAATTATAGTAAACATTACCTGTAGTGTGTAAACCTTCTTGTAAGTAAAATCTCATTTCCAGAGAAGTTTAGTTACTAGGTTTTGGACAGATCACTGGCCGAAATTTATCTGTGGATTATAGTAGTAACTGGCGTTATAGGAATCTTAATACTGGATCACACCTGCATGCCTAATCCCAAAGCAGTATGCTTTTCATAAGAAACCCCATTTTTCTTTTCTCATGTTAGTTTGTATGGAATCTTCTGGTTTACATTTTTAAGGGGTGATATGTACCATTATATGTGCATAAAACATATTTTCAGAGACCTGTTTTCCTATACTTGTATTTATCCCAGCCATTAAACTTAAAATTTAATCTTGTCCATGACTTGCGATGTGGTCTGTTGCCAGTAGTATAAGAATTTCTTACCTCAAGCCAATTTATTTAATATTTAAAACATTTACACTTTTCTTCCGAGGGCATGTCAAAATGGGTATTTCTGTTTCAGAAACTTAATTAACTTAGTTAATACCCCTCAGAAAAACGAATGGGTAGATATGGAAAGAGATAGAGAATGCTGATGGTTGCCTATAAAGTAGTATGTGTTCTTCTCTTTTCATTTACAAGGAATCCCAATTTTGTTTCTTTCCTCACCCTTTTCTCATGTAGCCAAGGACCTCAGGGGAAACTGACCTTTGTGATTCCACTGCCCCACTGAATCAAGTATTGGTACACAAGTGGACATGCAACCCAATTTTAACCAAAAGTATTTAAAGAAGAGGGGAGTTACTGGACAAATCAGAAAGAAGTTTTTTCTCTGTTATGAAAGAGTACTGAAAGGTAGTTTATTTTCTTCTCTTGACTGTGGTAAGTTTTGGTTGTATAACTTGTATATTCTGAAGCTATCCTGTTCCATCCCACGGACTATATTATATGTGGAATAGAGCAGAGCTGAGAGAACGGTAGGGGAGCCCAGCCAGAACCATTGGATTAATACCTCCCTGAAGGGCACCTTATCTCTGAATTTTCAGCAATGCAAGCCAACAATGTCCTTAATATTTAAGCTACTTTGAGTTTTCTGTTACATGTGACTGAGAACATGCTAAAAGATACAGAAATATTCTGAATTTATGCACACAAGTGTATTAATGAAGTCATCGCCATCTAAAATATGTATTAAAAGTTTGGGGTATCTTTGAATGAATCACTTAGAATTAGGATCAAGTTTCTCACATTTACATTTGTTGCTACTGTATTGTAACCCTAAATAGGGGGGATGATAAAATCAAAAGGAGCCAGGGAAAAAACAAAGTATTTATTGTTAACTACGATTAATCAAATATGATCATAATTTAGTTTTTGGCATACATTCAAGGGAATGGATCTAACCATAAATAAAAAGGAATCCTCTAACCTCTATGAATCAATGTAAGACTATATAATTTTTAAAAATCTTATAAATTCATGTTGATTAAAGTTTGAAAGCTAAAATGCCCTAGAACATTGATTTCCATCCCTTTTGAATAATGTTAAATATTTTCACAAAGCAATGCCTTCCTACCCCATCTATAATTATAATGCTATTTAAACTATTTGTTGAGCAAGAAAATTCATAATGGAATTCAGTACAGCTTTTTAGTAAAGCTTTAAATTTATTTATTATTAGAGCAAAAACCTAGAGATGAAAAAATGGAGTCACATGGCTAAGCAAGATGTATTATTTATTCAGTCCAAAGAAATGCTATGTTACATCTGAATTCAAGGGACTTTGCAGTAATTCCAAGAGGTAGAATGTAAGTCCCTCGGGGAAAAAGTCTCCATATGTGTTCAGTTTTTTGTGTGTGATGAAACCTATATGTGTTTTCATTTTCTTTCCTCTAAGAAACTTTTATACACATATTAACAGTTGCAGAGTGTTAGTGGGAGAAGAGAAATCAGCATAAAGTAAAATGCTAGTAGCAATAATTAATGCAACACTTATTGTGGCCAAGAATTTTACATTTGTTATCTCATTTAAGTCTCATGAAAGTCTCCATTTACAGAGAAGAAAACTAAGACTGAAACCACCTTACTCAAGCTCATTGAGCTAGCAAGCGGAGGAATTAGGGATGCAAAACAAGGTCTGGATGCCCCTGGGGCCCATGTCCTTAACTATGATGTCATATCGCCTTAGAATACTAAATCAGGCTGGGAGTGCTCAGAAGAATTCAGAGCTTCTGAATTTCAGATTTGTCCACACTTGACTCACCTGTCTTTTCAAAGTGAACGTAGCTTCAGAATTAGGGAACTTGATAGCGTGAACCCCCGGCAAATCAGCAGCAGAGCACAGATGCCTAGATTTTTTTTTTTTTTTTCTGATTTAATAAAGTTTTATTTTTCCAAATGTTCAGTTGGTTGGACCTATTCATGCATCTTCACCAGCAGCTGGAGCATCTCCGCCCTTGGTATTTCTGGTGTAAATTACTTGAGCTCTGTGCTTTGAAACCAGTTTGATAAGTCTTTTACTAAGGAGCTCCTGAAGGGCTGCCCTGGCCAGGGAGCCTCGAATCTTCAGTCTCTCAGAGACCACAGCTGGGATTATAAGTTTATAGTTGGGAACTTCCTTACAGAGTTTGTCGTAGGTAGCTTTGTCAAACAAGACTAAGTTATTGAGCTTGTCCCGAACCTTGCCTTTGGACCACTTCTTCTTTTTGACCTTGCCCCCGGATTTGTTCACTGGGTCTTTGTCTTTCTTGGCCGACTTTCCGGCGTCTTTCTTCTTCTTGTCGTCCTTGGGCGGCATTGCCAAGCTCGGAGAGCAGCAGCGGACACCGCAGCCTTGCTAAGATGTCGGACAAAAAAAAGGGGATGCCTAGATTTTTAATCTAACTCTGCCATTTACTGACAATGTAAATGGCATGGTTTGGCTGTGTCCCCACCCAAATTCCCATATGTTGTGGGAGGAACCCGGTTGGAGGTAACTGAATCATGGGGGAAGTTCTTTCCCATGTTGTTCTCATGATAGTAAGTCTCACGAGATCTGATGGTTACTGTAAGGGGGAGTTTTCCTGCACAAGCTCTTCTCTTGTCTGCCACCATATGAGAGGTGCCTTTCACCTTCTGCCATGATTGTGAAGCCTCCCCAGCCACGTGGAACTGTAAGTCCAATAAACTCCTTTCTTTTGTAAATTGCCCAGTCTTGAGTATGTCTTTATGAGCAGTGTGAACACGGACTAATACAGTAACCTTGCATATCTTATTGACCTTCTCCGAGCCCCTATTTCTATTTCATTAGCATTGGAAGAATAAAATCTTCACTGTCTATGTAATTGTTTTTGAGGAGTAAGCCAAACTGCATATATTATAAAGTACAAAACGATAGTATACATTATGACTATTTTGTGATTTTCTCAAGTATTCTGCTTTTCCATGGAAATAATGAATTGTAATAATGACGGACATCTATTATTGTTGCTGTTATTATTGCTAATCCTACATAAAGCAACGGGATTAACTATCTATTAATTAGGGAGGGAATAAGAAAAAGGAAAAATGTTCCAGGGTTCATGGTCATTTTGGGAAACTTGATAATTTAGTACTGGAATAAGACTTTAGGACTGATCTTGGCAGGATAGCCAAAGGGCTGTGCCACCGTGAAACTTAGAAAGCTCCATTTTCGCCAGGCACAGTAGCTCATGCCTGTAATCCCAGCATTTTGGGAGGCCAAAGCGGGCAGATCACCAGGTCAGGAGATTAAGACTATCCTGGCCAACATAGTGAAACCCCATCTCTACTAAAAACACAAAAATTAGCTGGGCATGGTGGCATTTGTCTGTAATCCCAACTACTCAGGAGGCTGAAGCAGGAGAATCACTTGAACCACGGAATCGGAATCGGAAGTTACAGTGAGCCGAGGTTGTGCCATTGCACTCCAGCCTGGCCACAGAGCAAGACTCCATATCAAAAAAAAAAAAAAAGAAAGAAAGAAAGAAAGAAAAGAAAGAACGCTCCATTTTAAGAAAGGGAAACATTCCACTTCAATTTTCTCATTTGTAAGATTTAAGAGTATATTTTAAACAATGTCTTTCCATCTCCCCTCAAAAAAAGGAAATAAATCTTATTAATGCAGAATATGCATTAGACAATTTGATTCTTTTTCTGTACTTGAATGAATAAAGAACCTATTTTTATAACCATAGAATTGCTTGCAATGGAATGATTATGGGGAAGGTTACATGTAAAACAATTGAAAAAGTAGAAAATAAAATTATTTACAAAGTCAATTAGAAAAATCCATTAATAAAAATATTCCATCAAAGTAATGAGGAGCAGATCTATGGGATTCTTTACCACACTGATGTTCCAAGTGCAATGTTAATATTTTTGTTTTTAAGTCCTAGCATTTCACATGCGTGTATTTTTCTAGGTTTGAGTGCAGTTAAACTCTAGGTCCCAAATACCAGCTATATAGGGACATAACTTGTTGGATTTTCAGTAACTTGTAGAAAAACAGCATGAAATAATTTTTTAAAAATATGCCCAGATCTAAGGTACAGAAGTTCTAGGTTCTAGTACATGTTAGCACTATAAAAGTAACTATAACATACCATGTTTATCAATTTCAATATTATCAGCTTAACAGGAATAACAATATATGCTTGCTTTTCTTCAATTTTACTGTAAAGGTAAAACAGAAGGACTCCATAGTGCTTGGTAAATTTTAAACAACTTATAATTGTACTAATCCCCTTCCCCAAAGTTTCTGCATATATCTTCAATTTTTCATTTTCATAATGTAAATCATTGAAGTTTAAAAAAACAAAAACTCGACTTGTTCTTTTCTGACAGCACTGTGAATGGGATGTGTACTGACAATGAGGTTGCTGAATCAAATGGTTATTTGCTCTCAGTTTTGTTTTTCAGGAACCCATCTACCATACATTACTTGGAAAACCAGTTTTTAAGGCTTTTTAAAGGTGCCCTTAATATCGTTTGATTGTTGCTACTTAGAGGAAACACTTCAGAGAATCCTTTAAAGTGGATTATAATAATGCTAAACATATTTTAAAAATCATTATTAATTCTAATACTCCTTCTGTATGTTTAAGGATGGCCTGCATACTTTAAAAAAGGACCCATAACTGTTTTAAGCATCAAAATATTTCTATTATTTCTTCAAAACAAAACACAGATTAAATTAGTAAACCTTTTCCCTTTCACCATACTGGCAGGCTAATCATGTGAACTGAAATACGGATAATAAAGCATATCTGGTTCTCATTTCTGAACTCAACACCAGATGTTGTTTTCAAGGTTTGTCTTTTTTTTTTTTTTTTTTTTTTTAACTTTCATGAAACCATTTCAGTCCAAAGGTGATGGGGGAACTCCTTGCAGACCAAAGTTTTAATTTTATATTTTACTATTAAGTCATCCTTATGGTGAATATCTCCAGTGAATGATCCATAATAACAAAAAAGATCTTATATATATATATATGTGTGTGTATATATATGTGTGTGTGTGCATATATCTATATATCTATATATAGTTCTTTTAACCCAGAATATGGGATAAAAACGTGCTCCCAGTAGAAAGTTCCTTAAGAAGTCCCTCACGCTCTGCAGTGGGAGAGGGAGGAACTTGGGAAGAGCTTGGCATCACAGGAGACTTGTGAGACTTCGTTTTTGCAGTTAGTATTTGCTCTGAAAGCTTGTGCTGGGGACAAAAATGAGTCATATGTTATGGGGAAGCTCAACCATTCATGAAACAAAAAGAAACTTACCTTAAAACATCATATCCAAGTTGTTGCTCAAAGGTCTTTTTTAGACTTTTTGTAATTGGAAGAAAATATAATTTCTGACAACTTTTTTCTTTTTTTGAGACAGAGTCTCACTCTGTTGTCCAGGCTGCAGTGCAGTGGCAAGATCTTGGCTCACTGCAGCCTCCAACTCCCAAGTTCAAGGGATTCTCCTGTCTCAGCCTCCCGAGTAGCTGGGACTACAGGCACCCGCCACCACGTCCAGCTAATTTTTTCTATTTTTAGTAGAGATGGTTTCTGCCATGATGGCCAGGCTGGTCTCAAACTCCTGACCTCAAGTGATCCACCCGACTTGGTCTCCCAGAGTGCTGGGATTACAGGCGTGAGCCACGGTGCCAGGCCTCAATTTCTGACAACTTTAAGGAAGCCATTAGCCCAAACAGAATTATCAAATGTTAAAATACCTGAAATTATATTCCCAAAGCAATGGGACAAACCCATGATGTTACTCTATGTTTAAAATAAGTTTTATAGGTATGTGCATTTAGCTATTTATTAACATGACATTTAGCGAATCTATCTTATTTTAATATAAAAAAGGGAGTTGACAGTTGTGAATCGGGCTGTATATAAACTAAAAGAGGATCTACTAACTTATTAATTCAACAACATGTATTGAGGATTTAATGTCTACCAGGCACTCGATAATGAAGATCTACGATGTATACTTAAAACTTAGAATCTATAAAGAGAATCAAACATGAGAAAACAGCAATAGTATGTCATAAAAACTCTAATAGAGTACTGGACAGCTCTGTGTTCATTCTGCATTCATGCGTATGCATATGTGTATATTTGTACACAGTGTGCATTGGTCACCTAATATATGCTGAGCTTCGGAGATACATATAGTGGTGAAAAGCGAGCACTACAGACACAGACCTTTCCTCTCAGCACTTGCATTTCCAGTTGTCCACTGGGCACCCTCACTCAGATTTCTTCCTGTACATCAGAAACAACTTTGGTAAAATTGAGCTGACTCTTTCTACCCTGAAGTCAGTTTTTTCTCCTGGCATCCTTGCTTCTGTTAATGGCACTCTCATTCCTTCAGTTCCTGAGGCCTCAAGCACCAAATGTCAACTCTTTCTTTTCCTTTGCCTCTTACAATGGTTCTGTTAATTTTACTTTCCAAATACTTTACCATTTTCTCTTTGCTAGTCTCAGTCTCCCCTGTTTTATTACAGTTCCTCAGTACCTTTCACCAGGCATAGTTCAAAGTCTCCTATCTGATTTCACTTGTCTTTTATTTTTTCTCTCTCATTTAAATGGATAAATTGTTAGAATATTCTTCCTAAGAATACTAATCACATCAGGCCCTTGTTCAGCAGCCCTCGATGGCTCCCAAGTCCCTGTCTAATTAAGTAAAATCTCCCTAGCCTTTCATTTATGCCTACCATAATAGCCCCTGACCACACTAACCAATGAATATAAATTATATTTATGTCCAAATTATAATGGTGCTGAGCTACCCCCTGCAGAGAATATCCCTTAAACTTCTGGTTCTGATTATCTAACTTTGTGTGGATTTTTTTTAAAAAAGGAAAGCTGTTTTCAACTTGTGTATTGGGTTTTTCTGAAGATTGTTGCATTCCAATAACAGTGGCACAGGCCTTTTTCTGCCTCTCTGATTATGTACTTTTTAAAATCTATTTTTCATTCTTGACTGTGAGAGCCAAAAGAATGGAACTGACAAGGCAGGGCTCTCCTAGGCAAGTAGAGAAAAGGAAGAAATGGTATAGAAAAGTCATATTCCTCTTGAGTAGATGTGCAGATGGGGAAGATGGCAAACAGTCATACATTAATAATTTTGGTCCCCATCACACCCATTTGCCAGCTGTAGTCAACACTTGGCATCGTCCAGCGTATTCCTTTCTGGCTTTCACTTGTCAACGCCCAGTGCATGAAAAGCTCCCTGAAGACGCCTGACCACTGTTCCATCATGAGAACATCAACACTAGTGCCAAAAACTGGCTCCTAATGCTGACTCCGTACATCACCCTTCAGAGGACTGAGACCAGAGGCTCCTTCCCAAACACACCCTGTTTTCTT